AGACCATGAATTCCAAATATAAGAAATTAATTTCAAAACTTAAAGTTGAAAATGATTTGGTTTTGAAAGAAAAAGTTGATTTTGAAAAACAAAATGAATCTTTGAAAAATGATTTAGAGATTTCAAAAGTCAAAATCAATGATTTAAAAAAAGAAAATTTTGATTTGAAAGTTAAGCTTAAGAGCTTAACAAAAGAAAAAGAATTAATTTCTAAAAACAACTCATTTTGTTTAAAAATGGCAAAATGCTCACATTGTCATTTCATGGTCATTTGGAACATACTTGTCCTTTAAAAAAGGAAAACATTTTAAAACTAGACAAGTATGTGTTCCTAAGTGAACAAAGGGCATTGAAACTAATGTCCAAGGTTCCAAAGCAATTTAGATACCAAACTCTACTTAAATGTCTCTTGTAGGTGTGTGAGAGCAATGATGATGAAAGTGAATTATTCAAATGCTCTAGCCACACTCGAAAAGGAATGGGTAAAACTCTAAGCTTAAGAGCTTTTTAATTTTTTTGCATAATTGGTTGCTCATTTAGTTTATGCATGCATGAGTTTTGAACTTAAATGGTTTTATGTTAATTTTCTATCTCATGTATGTTAAAAGGAAGTTATGATGAACATTTTAAAGTTTTAATGATTTTTCTTAATTTTTAGTTCATCATAATGAATTTTGGTCAAAATTGGTTTAAAAAATGCAAATGACATATCTCTAATAATTGATATCAAATTTTCAAACGCTTTGATTTTACAAACTTTAATTTTTTACCTAAATTTAAATTTTTTATGTAATTTAAAAATGCAAATAATATATTTCTAACAATTGATATCAAAATTTTCAAATGCATAATTTTTTTTGGAAGCCTTTATGCATATGCACTTAATTTCAACATTCGGTATTGAATAAAGTATTTTTAGACTTGGACATATTAAATTTCATGTGCTACTTACATATTTGTTATTCTTTGTTGAATTCAATTTTATTTAAGTATCAAGCTTTTAAAGTTTTTTTGGAATGCACTTTTTGAGGGGAATCTTTTAATTTTTCAAATTTTTTAATGTCAAATTTACCACTTACTCTCCAATGTTATTTTTTAAATGAATTATTTTCGATATAACAAAAAGGGGGAGAAGTATGAAAAATTCAATTTCTTAATGAAAAGGGAAAGCTGAACATTTTCATACATTTTCCAATAATTGATATCTTTTTCATTAAATATTTTATTAAGGGGGAGTTTTGTTAAAAATGATTTTTCAAATGTTTTGTTATATCAAAAAGGGGATATTGTTGAACTATGTTTTGATATAACAATTTATGGAAAAATATTTTTGGACTTGAATTGAATTTATTCAAAGTTTTTCAATGTTTTCAAAAATAATTCAAAGTCCATTTAACTTAGAATTGAGTACAAAATGTTTTTCTGGACAAGAAGTACTGATACTGTTCTTACAGTATCGATATTGTTCATATGGTACTGATACCAAAGGTAAGGGAAGTATCGATACTCACTAGGTAGTATCGATAATACCAGCATTGCTCAAATTCCAGAATGCAAAAATGATATTGATACCAATGGGGTACCGATACAACTTTACATAGTAGTATCGATACCGTCAGGCCCAACGGCTAGTAACGACTAGTTTTATTTAAAAATAACAACGGTAGTACCGATACTCCCTGTAGGAGTACTGATACCCCACTACAACAAAAGTGTTCTTAAGCGGCGTTTTTAGCGGTGTTTGGAGAGTAAACGCCATAATATTTTAGAATATAGCGGCGTTTATATTCCGAATATCGCTAAATGATACTTTAGCGGCGTTTGTTGCAAAAATGCCGCACTAGAATGGTAATTTAGCGGCGTTTATGGCACAAACGCTGGTATAGAGTTATTTATAGTGGCGTTTTATCAACAAACGTAGTAAAAGATTAGTCATTAGCGGCGTTTTTATAAAAACGTCGCTATAGAGTAGTAATAATGCAACGTTTTTTCATTAACGCCGCAATATGGTTGTTTATAGTGGCAATTTTCAAAAACGTTGCAATATGCTTCATCAATATGTGATACTTTAGCTACCTTTTTTGTACAAACGCTGCAATATAGTATACATATAGTGCCGTTTTTTCAAAAAATGCCACAATAAAGAAGAATTTTGCAGCGTTTTACGCCAAACACCGCAATATAGTGGTAATTTAGCGACGTTTATACCACAAATGACACAATAGAATGATAAATTAGCGGCGTTTATATCTCAAACGCCGCAATAAATAATGCTTTAGCGTCATTTTTAGACAAACGCCACAATAGTGTTAATCAATAGTGGCATTTTTTTGTATAAACGCCGCAAAAAATATGTGATATAGTGGCCTTTTTTTTAAAACGCCGCAAAATGTTAAATATATGGTCCTTCCTTTTCTCCTACCCGAGCCCTAAAATCATTTCAGCTCTTCTTCCCTCAAAGCTTCTTCTCTGGTACAACAACATGCTGAGCACGATTCTAAGCGACGTCGTCTTTTGAATCTCATGACGATCAAATCGGCCCTCTGACCGAGGAACTATAACACAATTGCACGGTTTGATCCCTCTTATCAGTAATGATATTTTCTTTTTTGTTTTTGTTGGTATTCTGAAAATGGGGAAAACCTAGAAAGCTAATGTATTGGAGAAAAAAAGAGCAGGTGTTGCGTTGAGTAAGAGAAATTATCGTAGGATTGTATACGTATTTGCTCTACGATGGATCAAATTATCATTGGGAGGCTATCGGTTCGGTCTCACCGTCGAAACTCGATGATGAGCCGAAAGGAACTTCTATTGCTCCATACCCATCCATGGTCGATCTCCTAGTTGAAGGTAATAATCTATAAATCTTTAAGTCGCTATGCTATATATACTAATTTTCTACAGTCAGTAAAATTTCATAGATCGTACACATGTAGGATCTTCGAAGCTTATTAAGAACGATGATAGAGGAGTGGATAAATACCCGATGTTTAGAGCCGAATTTGGTAACTCTGTGGCGTTGAAAGAATCTTCAATTGCAAAAGCAGTATCTACCTTAATGAAGACGACGTTGCCTCAACTATTACTCCAAGTAAACACTTATATCATCTATTTAAATTTAATTTAATGTTTGATTTAGTTCCCAAGCAACCTCCAATCAAGTTTCATATTGTAGGTGGAAGCTCGCTATCTGTTTCAAGTGAAGCACTGAAGCGCGTAAAGAGTCTTCTTGGTGTATCGGAGGTTGGGGATTTATTTGGTGAAATGGATGAAGAGTTTCTCCATATAGAGTTTACAGGGAGGAAAAACTTAACGATGCATCGTCAAACAAGTAAACCAACTTTCATACGTCCTTTCCCCAAGAAGGAGCACAACTAAATATATTTTAGTGAACAATATGATGAAAAAAATTGATGCATAACTTTAATGTTTCTAAATTTTATTGTATTGCCTCTACTGTTAAGTATATTTATGCGTAACTTATGGCTTAATTGAAATGTATGGTTGTTAGTAATTAGGTTAAACAAAAAGAGGAGTAAATTTATGTACTTATGTAGAGCATAAATTAAATATTTATAAAATATTTGATTTTATATAAATCAATGTATTTAGCAGGGTTTGTATAAAAAAACCACGCTATATAACTCACCTTTTGTGGCGTTTGTATAAAAAAATGTAGAGTACAAATGAAATATGTAAAATCATTTAATTTTATAAATAAAGGTAATTAGCGGCGTTTGTGGATACAAACACCACAATAGATTAGCACTGTAGAGGCGTTTTAATTCAAACGCCGCAAAAGAGTTGGACTATAGTGGCGTTTTCATAGAAACGCTGCAAAATATTAGTAATTTAGCAGCGTTTTTACAAAAACGCCGCAATAGGTTCCACATATAGCGACGTTTTGCTAACAAACGCCGCAAATGATTCGTACTTTAGTGGCGTTTTGACAAAAAACGCCACAAATGTTTTTAAAATTAGTTGCGTTTTTAATTAAAAACGCCGTAATTGGTTACCCTTCAGTGGCGTTTGTATATTTAAACGCCACAAAGTCCGTTTTAATTTTTCTCTAGCCCTAGCCCTCTTTTCCATCACTATTATCCGTTCCCTCACGCCAATTACAGAAGCCATCTCCTTCACTGCGCCCAGCTTCCTTCGCCTCCAACGTCGTCACAAGTAGTACACCATTCTTCGGTCGATAAGTAAAATCCCAGATCCAACCCAGCATTTCTTAACCCTTCTTTCCTTGTTTCCCTTCGATTTCTCTCTGATTTCAGACTTGGATAAAAAATTACGCGACGCAAATGAGAAGCTTTTCGCGATACCCAGGTTAGGCTTTCTTTCTCTTAGTAGTTGATTCAACGTGATGAATTTTGTAATGCGTAGTCCATAGCTCTACGTAGCCTTACGATTAGCATTTCATTTATTACAACAAAGGCTTGTATAAACAAACCTTTTGTAACTGATAGACCTGTGATTCCAGATTGAAAATCTATTTTAATTGCTTTTAAGTTGTGTTTTTTTACTAGAAGCCAATTAACTTGGTGGTTAAGTTGGTAGCAAGATATGCTAGAGGCAATATTTAAATTTATGGAGTGCGTACCTTTAAAGGCAGTATGATTAAAATTAGTGGAGTGTGTGTCCTATTTATGTTTTGTTTCTCTTATCAAAACCAACGATTTAATTTGTTTATGGTTTGTATATCGTTGCAGGTATGCAAATTTTGTTCATTGTGCATATTGCGATTTTCACTCCATTATTTATTAAACTTTAGCCTTTTGTTTAGAATCTTTCTATTGTTACAAGAATATTGGGTTTTAGTTTCTCTTGCTGGCTTCTTCCTCTTCATCGTTTTTTGTTTGTAATTTGTGTTAGAAATATGTTCAAACTTAGTTCATGGACAAATAACAAATAGTTATACCACATTGGTTATGTTTTTAAAGCAGAATGGTTATCATTCTCCTTTTTTGTTTCTTAACTCTCTTTGTTTTATGTTTTAGGAGTTGGGCATAACTTCTGATGAAGCATTGAGTTTGGAGGACTTATCTAAGCGTGCTGTTGTATTTGGAGGAGGGTACGATAGATTTTCTATTTTCGTGTTCGTTCTTTCATCTGTTTAGTTTTCTAAAATCCCAAGATGACTTATACTCGTCTAGGTACATTGCTGTTGAGTTTGCATCAATCTGGAGAGGGTTGGGTGCTGATGTAAATCACTTTTTCATAAGGGAGCTTCCTTTGAAGTCGTTATCCAGTCTGATCTTATTTATTAGTGCCATATTTTCTTGTATTTCATAAGAACTCCCAGATCTGATCTAAGTTAATTTTATTTGATGTATTTTTACCAGTCCTATAGTGACTGCAATTGATTTACATGTTTACTCATAAAGTGTTAAGCTTTTCTCTCTGATTTGGTTGAAAATGAGATGCGCAAAACTCGTAAATAGCTCTTGGTGTTTTCTTTCTCATTTACTTGTGTTTCTCACCAATTTGGTTTTATTTGGTTCCCTGATAATTGAAACATACATGTTGTTTTGCAAATGTTGACAAATGATTTAATGCGTTTAAGTGAAGATTTTGTTATTATTGGGAAAGAACGTACAATTTCTCATTTATGGAGTAAATAATATGGTTCTTCAATTTCATTGTGGCCCTCTTTAGGTTTATTATTTATTGTGCTCCAATATAACACCATGAGCAAATTTAAAAAGTATATGGCACTTCAATCTGTTTTCTTTTTGTTGAAGTTACATTTCTGGCAGGCCTATTTCTTTGAATTTTATAGAACGACATGATCTTGTTTTTCAAATTGGATATGGGAGTTAAAAAGAATTTTGAGTTGTATTTATACTTGAGTTTAGTCTGACCTGCAGGCTACAGTTGTGCTGGAAGTATGTTGTATTTAGATTAGGTGGAAAATCTTTGGCTTTCTTTTCATTGAAAAAAAGTGGAAAAAAGAGATTATGTTTAAAGGAAGAAAATTTAGTGTCTAAAATTTATTGTCTATCTTGTCTTTAAGTTGAAAGTATCAGTGAAGTTGGAGAAGTGATGTTCTCATTTCTGATGGTTGTATTTAGGGTTTAGGGTTGGATTTTCATGAAATTCTTATTCAATTCTGGTTTGGAATGATTTAGAATTATGTTTAGTGGGAAGAGACTTTTTCTGTTCATCATTTCTTCTTTTCGTCTTTTCTATTCTCTCTCTTCTCCTCGTCAACTTCACTCTCGATCAGTAAATGTATAAGAATCAATGTGACAATATTTTTTTAATGTTTGGAGTTAATGATCTGTTCCTAGTTTTTTAACTAACACTTTTGTTCCTAGTTTTTATCAGTATTTTCTTTAATTGAGTATCAGTGATTAAAATCAATAATTCATCTGTTTCTCTCTTCGTAGGTGCTAATTGAGTTGAGCATCTCGAATTTTATTCATTTATGAGGAACTCATTTGTCAAGAAACAAAGGTAATCTTCTATCCGTTATACTTTTGGGTTACTATTTTTCTATTTTTCTTGAACCTGTCTGACATGGAACAAAGGTAATGAACTCCGTTGTAAGTTCTTCATGCCTCTATCTTTACCATTGAAACATGAGTTTGTTTAGATATAAATGCTTGATTTCGATGAAACATTGTGAAAATGATTAGTTCTATACTATGCAGTTTTATATATTCACCCTTATATTTTTTATAAAATAACATAGATACACTTGCTCCCATACAATTTTAGCAATTTAAAATTTCATAATGTAGGAGTGATTATTTCTATATTCATCTTAATATTATTATGCACTAAATAGGAAGTTCAAAGCTTATGTTTAGGTTCTATTTTTATGTATAATATTAGCATAACATTTGTAATTGAAACTCCAGAAAGACGAAATGGAGTCGAAAACTTGGATGGATTTCTCAAGGGTGAGCGTCGAATATCGAAATGGAGTCGAAAACTTTCTAAATTTTGCTTTTCTGAATGCAAGCCAAGAGAATATGATTCTTTGCCCTTGTAAGCAGTGTGTTAACATTAATTGGCACACTCGTGAAGTTGTGTACGAGCATCTAGTTATTTTTGGATTTGTTCGGGGGTATAGAAAATGGATCTTTCATGGAGAGTTTGTTTCAGATAGATCTGCTTCCACGAGTTATTCGACTTATCCTTCTCCTTCTCACCATCCAACTTTTAGAGAATATGACATGGAAGGGATGTTACGAGATGCATTTAATATGCACAATTATCAGTCGTATTTTACAGAAAATGTTTGTCAGAATGATGTTAATGATTTCGTTGAGATGGGAAGAATTGGATGTGATGAAGAGCCGAATGGAGAAGCGCCAAAGTTTTACAAGTTGCTGAATGAAATGAATGAACAACTTTATGACGAATCAAAATTTTCAAAGCTTTCTTTCTGCATTCGTCTTTTCCACTTAAAATGCCTGGGAGGGTGGACTGGTAACTCCTTTACGGAATTGTTGGAGTTACTAGGAGAAGTGTTTCCTTTCGCAAAAATCTATCAATCATGCAAAGATATGAAGAAAATGATGAAAGATTTGGGTCTTGGATATGACAAAATTCATAGTTTTCCTAATGATTGTATGTTGTATTGGGGTGATCAAAAAAATCAGGAGTCTTGTCATGTATGCGGAAAATCTCGATGGATGACTAGGGAGGCAGGAAATGTTTCTGAGGATGAAGCTGAAGCACATCAAGAAATAAACTGGTCAAGATTCTGCGATATTTTCCTCTCATACCTAGGCTACAAAGATTGTTTATGTCCTCCAAGACTGCTGAGTCTATGAGGTGGCATCATGATGGCATAACTGATGATGGATTATTACAACATCCTGCGGATTCTTTAGCTTGGAAGTCATTTGACAACAAGTACCCAAGTTTTACGAGAGATCCTCGAAATGTCATGCTCGGTCTTGCAACTGATGGGTTTAATCCATTCAAAATCATGAGTACTTCGTATAGTACTTGGCCTGTTGTACTTGTTCCATACAATTTGCCTCCTTGGATTTGCATGAAACAATCATCTTTCATCTTATCCATGATAATCCCCGGCGAAAAGGCCCCAGAAATGATATTGATATTTACATGCAGCCGCTAATTGCAGAGTTGAAACAATTATGGGAAGAGGTCGAAATGTACGATGTGATGAGGAATGAGAATTTTAATTTACGCGCGTCTTTATTATGGACAATTAATGATTTTCCTGCGTATGCAAATTTATCTGGTTAGAGTACCAAAGGTCGTTATGCTTGTCCTTGTTGTGCTGCACAAACATGTTCGAAGTGGTTGGTTAATGGAAAGAAGTTCTCTTATATGGGACATCGTCGGTGGTTACCTGATAATCATAGATTTAGAACTCAAAAGAATATGTTTGATGGCGATGAAGAGTTTCGAAATGCTCCTGACCAAACAACCGGCTCTGAAATATTCAGAATGTTGAAGAATATCAATTTTACTTATGGAAAGATGAATCAAGCAAGTAGTACACGATCAAAGAAAAAGGCAAAGCAGGTCAATGAACAGGTTGAAGTTGACGAACAAACTGATGACGAGTCTGATGAAGAGGATGATCCAAATGAGGTAGACTTGTGGAAAAAGAGGAGTATATTCTTCGAGTTGCCTTATTGGAAAAAGCAGATTTTGAGATATAATCTTGATGTAATGCATATTGAGAAGAATGTTTGTGAGAATATTATCGGGACCATTCTGAATGAGGGCAGAAAATCTAAAGATAATCTTAAGAGTCGACTTGACTTAGTGGAGATGGGAATTCGGCATGATCTTCATCCGCAATTACATCCGAATAAGACATTTCTTGCCGCCTTCTATTTTTTCTCTTTCAAAGAAAGAAAAAGAATTGTTTTACAGTGTTGAAGGATATAAAGGTACCAGATGGGTATGCATCAAACATTTCTCGATGTGTCAGTGTTAAAGACCGAAGACTTTATGGTTTAAAGTCACATGATTATCACATATTAATGCAAGATTTACTGCCAGTAGCTGTTCGCGGTTGCATGTCTAGTAAGGTGACGTCTTGTATCATTGAACTTTCTAATATAATGAAAGCTATCTGTGGGAAAGCTCTAATGGTTGAAGAACTTGATAAACTACAAGATCGAGTCGCCTTGACTTTATGCAACTTGGAGAAGATATTTCCGCCTTCATTCTTCACAATTATGGTGCATCTGCTAATTCATCTTCCTCACCAAGCAAGAGTTGGTGGACCAGTTTTCTATCGATGGATGTACCCTATAGAGAGGTGTTAATTGAATTACACGTTTCAAATTCCTACTGATTATACCTTTTAATAAAATGTATTTACTTAGTATGTTGTTTTGTGTATAGGTTCTTGGGCAAGTTGAGGTCTTATTGTCGTAATAAACGTTATCCGGAAGGATCAATTGCTGAAGGGTATTTGGCAGAGGAATGTATGACATTTTGCTCTAGATATTTGGAAGATGTTGAAACAAGATGGAATAGACCAAATCGAAATGATGTGTTAAGTACTGATGACTTACCTCAACATTATTTGTTTGGAAGTTACGATCAACCATTAGGGAAAGTTAAAATTGCACACTTAGATGACACGTCTTGGGTACAAGCACACCGATATGTTCTTTTCCATCACGATTCAATAGATCCTTTTCGCACGTAAGTCTTTCGGACCCAATCCTAATGAAATCTCTTAATCTTTTCTATTTATTAATTTTTAATGATATAATATACTTTATAGTGAGTTTAAAGAAGTCTTGAGATCTCGTGCACGCTCCCGAAGATTAAATCAACGAGACCTACATAAGTTATTCACAGAAACTTTTCATGAATGGTTAGGCCAGACGGTAAGCAACTAAATCTTACGAAATACTTATAAATAATATATATCTTGTTTTTTCAATGCAAATTAATTCACCATTAATGTGTATATTGGAGCGGGAGAGAAGTTAGTGAAGATGTTAAATGGCTTTCTCAAGGTCCGAATAGAATAGTTAAAAGATATAATGCCTTCCTCATTAATGGGTTCAGGTTCCACACGAAATCTCATGAAATATTAAGGAGGACACAAAATTGTGGAGTCATAGTTACTTCGTCAACTACAAGTTATGCTACTGTAAGGGACAATAATCTGCAGGATGGAGAGGTCGATTATTATAGAAATCTTACGGACATTATTTAGTTAGATTATTATGGAAAATGAAAGGTTGTGCTGTTTTGGTGTGACTGGGTTGATGT